TATATATATATATATATATATATATATATATATAAGGTGGTTATCAGGTAATAAATGGATTATAATACCGTATATACTGTTTTTATACATATACATATACAGTCGTGGTCAGAATTGGTATCCTTGGTAAATATGATCAAAAAAGGCTGTGAAAATAAATCTGCATTTTTAATCTTTTTGATCTTTTAATTTAAAAATGTACAAAAATCTAAACTTTCATTGAATAATAAGAATTTAAAATGGGGAGAAATCTCATTATAAAATAAATGTTTGTCTCTAATGCATGTTGGACACAATTAATGGTACCCTTTTATTCAATAATTTTTGCATCATCCTTTTGCCAAGAGAAGAGCTCTGAGTCTTCACCTCTAATGCCTGAAGAGTTTGGTCTTGGCTGATGAGAACATCTGACAAGAGATCAGAGAACATTCCTTCATCCAGTCTTTGGCCACTCAAACTGTCCTCCTCAGGGTGCATTAAGTCGATATAGACACACGTCCTCTTCCAGGAAGATTTGTAACATCTTTAGTTGATTGGAAATTCTTAATTATTGCCCTGATGGTGGAAATGGGAATGTTCAATGCTCTAGCTCTTTTCCTAAAGCCACTTTCTGTTTTGTGAAGCTCAATTATCTGTTGCTGCACATCAGAACTATAATCTTTGGTTTTACTCCTTGTGATGGATGATTAAGAGAATTTGGCCTTTGTTTTTTTTTTTTTGTGGAACAGGAAGCAATGGCTGGATAATTTCAGATTCATAATCACCCTGGTGTGCTAAAAATTGTAAATATGAATGGGAATATACTTCAGAGATATTTTACTCATAAGAATTTCTAAGGATACCAATAATTGTGGCCAACGTGTATTAGAGAAAATTATTTATTTCACAATGTGATCCCCCCCCCCTTCATTTATTTTTTACTTCGATTAAAGCTTAGATTTTTTTATATATTTTTTAAAATAAAAGATCAAATGGATAAACAATGCAGATTTATTTTCACAGACTTTTTTGATCATATTTACCAAGGGTACCAACAAATCTGACCACGACTGTATATATATATATATATATATATATGCACATACATATCTCAGTAATTTTTGCCAGCCAAGTGAAGAGCACACATATATATATATATATATATATATATATATATTGTTACGTCCAAGGACGTATTTGTTTTTCCCCGATTGATCTCTCTCTCTCTCTCTCTCTCTCTCTCTCTCTCTCTCTCTCTCTCTCTCTTCTCTCCCTCCCCCTCCCCCCCGCAGTTCTTCTATTGCCATCTACAAAGACAACTAAGAAACTACATGAAGATTAAAAAAAAACTTTAACTTCTTTTTCATAATCATGAAATGCTTACTGTTGAATATGGTGACATATATACACTGAAGAGGACATTTTGTTAGATTTTTTTTTGCATTGTTCAGAAGAATTATATTTGTATTTGCACTGGTAACATCTCAGTGCAAGCACTGAAAGATAAAGGCGATGTTATATAAAATATATAAAATGCATTCATTTAATGTATCAGTTTTTAAATGTAATTACAATCAAATAAAATAACAAAATAACATACTATTAAAGTTCATAAGTTTTGTTAATAAATATATTGTTACATACCTCCCCTGTCTAGGGTCAGGGGTGGCCGAAACAAGGAAATTTTGCAAATTAAGCCCGAAGAAAAGAAACCGCTTTTCTACCTGCAACCTGGAGGTCTTCTCTCCTGTCCCAGCACTCCACAGAAAATCACACAGACTTTCGTAACGGTCTAGAAAATTAGTTTATTGACCAAGTTCAGAAAAAGTACTAAGCACGGAGCAAATAAAGCTTCGGGAGGGGACCAGGCCAAAACAACAAACATACAGGTCTAATTTACTAAAAAGGGGTACTTTCTAATCTCTCAAATCAAAATTCAAAACAAACAACAAAAGTCTTACCTGACTCCCTTTCTAGCCAAAAACAGGAGAAAACATGGACCTTAAAAGAAACGGCATCCTCCTCCCTACTGCACCAAAAGTAATTATAAACGGTTGGCTTAAACCTCACGTAGTGAGTTTACTTGCACAAAACAGAGTAACAACCTCTCTCCAAATTTTCACAGTTATACACCAACTATGCAAACAGGCAACAACTAGCACACATGCTATTGTCTGGGGCAGGCGAAAAGAACAATCTCCAGAGGCCAAGAAGACCTACTTCACACCGAGTTTCCAGCTTTATCCACACACTCTCCCTCCAGCAGCCAATCAGAGCGAGTCAGTAGTTGATGACAATTAGGACCAGGTGATCTTCATCAAGCTTTGCATGGAGTAGAGAGAAGAGAGAGAGCGAGAGCGAGAGCGAAAACAAAACACTGCCAAAAGACAAACTGATCAACAATTAAATACTGTCCAAATATAACACCAAGGAAACCAATACAAATAATTACGCCTTGGGACGTAACAATATATATATATATATATATATTCTGTCATCATTTACTAATGTCATACTTCATGTCATTCCAAACCTGCACAGTAAAAAAAATTACCAATTCCATAAACCACATTTCTTTCTCTCTTTTCATTCCAGTAAAAGGTATATAAATGCTCATCTATTAATTAATATAATATTATGTAAATTATTATATAATATATATAAAAAAATATTTAAAAAAAAATAATTATTAATTATATAAATATTTAAAATATATATTTGTGAAGTGTTGATACATTTGCATATGCATTCCCAGTATTTTGAAGTGGAAAAAAAAAAATACAAAAATCTTCAGAAAAATTAAAATTTCTTAGTTATGCACATCTAATATTATGTAAATGTAAATTATTATATAATATATATAAAAAAATATTTAAAAAAAAATAATTATTAATTATATAAATATTTAAAATATATATTTGTGAAGTGTTGATACATTTGCATATGCATTCCCAGTATTTTGAAGTGGAAAAAAAAAAATACAAAAAAAATCTTCAGAAAAATTAAAATTTCTTAGTTATGCACATCTACATGTTTTTCATGTAATTTTTACACCAGACATGTAAATTTGCAGTCTACTTCTGTAATTTGACTTTTAAATTTTTTTACCATATTTCAAAAGTTTGTGAAAAATCTGTAAAAGAAAACAGTAAAATACCATAAAATTACAGTTTTTTACAGTGTGGATGACGTTGCATCACAGGAATAAAATTTTAAAATATATTCAAATAGAAAACAGTTATTTTAAGTTGTAATAATATTTCACAATATTGCTGTTCAAATAAATAGGCAAAATAAACGAGGGTTTGTAAATAATGGCGTCTCTCATTTTTGTCAACTATTCTTTTAATACAATCAATTTTAACTTGATTAAACAGAATTTTACAGAGCAATAGTACAGCTTGAATCATTGTTAACTACATATTGTTATTGAGGAACAAACTAGGTCATTTCAAGATGTGGGCCAAATTAAAGAAACAGAAAGCTAAAAAAAATAATAATTTAAGCAGTTTTAGTTCAGCTAGCATTATAGTTCACTTCATAGACAGATCAGCGAAATAGTAATAATCCTTTGATTATAGCTGGGTAATCTTGCAGCCGGACACTAAAGGAAAAGACGACAAGTAGTCCAACAGTGATTTACTAAACATATTGGACAGAATATGGCAGTCAATTACATAAAGTGGGACAGCAAAACCCTAGTTGTGCTGTATTTTGACTGTAGGGATCACAAACATTCATGGCTTTCAGTCGATAATGTTTTCCCTATGAAAGGGGGTTTGACTGTTTTTCCTTTTAAAAGCCATTAAATCTGCTTTTATAATTCTTGTTTCCTTGCAATAGGAAATTGTGCTGAATGTGGAAGCATCATTTATTTTTAAATAAGACATCTAGAACAGTGCTGCTGCAGTAGTGTTCACTAATGTGAGAGTACAAGGTTACTACAGCATGAAAAGCTGTGTGTGTGTGTGTGTCTATACAGGAATGTGCTGCACCTTTGGGTTTATGAGTATGTGTGTGAAGCTCAGTTTATATAGTCATTTATAATCAATTATTATTGGTGCTCAGTTATTAATAATGGTATGTTGATCATTTTAGTTTCTTAATAGTTTTGTGGAAACCATGATATGATATTTTTTTCAGGATTCTTTAATGAATAGAAAGTTCAAAACTGCATTTATCTGAAAAAATATTTTGTTACATATAAATATAATATAAATGTATATTATAAATGTCTTTAATGCCATGTTTGGATGAATTAATGAATCCTTGCTGAATAAAAGTATTTGATTTTTAGTTTGTTTTTATTATTATTATTTTATATATTTTTTTTAATCTTAGTTATCCCAAACTTATCCCTGTGTATCACAGTTTCCACAAAAATATGAAGCAGCGACATCTGTTTTTAACATTGATAATAATAAGAAATGTTTTTTGAGCAGAAAATCAGCATATCAGAATGATTTCTGAAGGATCATGTGACACTGAAGACTGGAGTAATGGCTGCTGAAAATTCAGCTTTTCCATCACAGGAATAAACTGTATTTTAAAATATATTCAAACAGAAAACAGTTATTTTAAATTGTAATTTATTTTACTGTATTTTTGATCAAATAAATGCAGCCTTGGTGAGCATAGACACATTCTTTCCAATCATAACTAATATTAACAGCCCAAATAAAAACTTGTCTTGTCTTATAATT